TCTTGAGGTCCCTTCCAACTCTGATATTCTATGATTCTATAAGTTTGGGGATGGATAACCATCCTTGTCAAGGGGCTGTGTCATCTCGAGTTACGCAGGCCATCTCAAACTCAGCTTTCCACGATGCGCCCCTCTCTTCCCTGCCCCATATTCTGCAAGCACCAAAGAGTCTAAACTAAGTCTATTTAGAAAGTTCTCTCATAAGTTTTTATTCTTTTTAAATATCGGTCAGTCTCTAAGGCTAGGCTGCCTTATTAGTTAACATACAAGCCTCTTCCCCTGTGGAAAAAAGTTAACAGAAATATTAGTTTAGAAAATGCAGCTTTTATGTCTTTTTATTCAGTTATGGGATTGCAGTTTTCAGATCCAATATCTGATTAATTGCCAGGACTAGAAACAAATTATTTATATCATAAGAAAGCTGCATTACTTATTGATCAAGATGCATAATTCTGTCACAAGATAGTTAAAAAGATCCTAAAACTGTCACTGATCCAGGCCTGAACAGCTAGTAAACCAACATCTGATGATTTTTCATGATCCTCATTTAGGGGAAGAAGAAACTTCTTTTGGTGGCAGATTTCTTTTATTTGAAAAAATGTGGCCTATTCAGAACTCTCTCAGATGTTTGATGCCAGAAATAGTGCTAGTGGAGGTAGATAAGTGTGTAGACTGCGCTTCAGACCTACTCTAAGGTCCAAAATAAATCCTGCTTATTCCATGGTTGCTGCAATAACTCAGTGGCTAGAGTTACTGTAATCTCATATGTGGCACAAATACTGTATACAAAAAAACTAAATCATCATCAAGGTTGCAGCACTCAAAGGAAAGTTAAGGTTTTATGCTAAAATTTAACTGTCCCCTTGTGTGCATATATTATGACTGTATGTAACTGCACATCATTTACCAGACAATAGTATCTGACGAGTCCTACAGCCTGAACTACACACGTGCCATCTTGCATTAACCCACTTCATTATTTCATACCTAATCTCCATTATTTCACTTTGAAATGCTCATTTGGGCTGAATTCACCCCCATGCAGAGGGCCAGCAAAAGGCCTATGCCCCCACTTCAAGCCTGCTCGGAGGCTTACAAATGCATGGATCTTGTGTTAGCCTCTGCACAAGGTCAATTTCACCCTTAAATGATTTTCATGGGGGTCCTCTCACTTTACAGGCAAACACAAGTGATACAAGATGGTACACTCAGAGAAGGCTGTCAGTATCTGCTGTGGTTTGATTGGTACTTTGATCACTTTGCTAGATTTTAGTTCTGGACTTTCCCACCTCCTGTGATTATCTCTGATTTTGCCATTGGGACCACTGTGTAAATAGCTCTGTAAATCTCTTGAGCTGCATGCAAATCCTGGCCAAACCCCTTCAGTGTTAGTAAAACTAATTTCCACCAACCCTGGTTATGGACGTCGTTCTTACTATCGATCTCCGCTGTTTCTTTGGCTTGCCCAGCTCATATTCATCATCGTCCAAATCCTGCACAGAAAGAGGAGTCGGATTTTACACTTGCCTCAAGAACAAACAAGGTCTGTTTTTTTATTATTATGCAAAATGTTTCATTTCTGCAACAAAACATGTGCCAGGGACTGATTAGTATCATACGAGTGCACAGGAGAGACTGGCTAAAGCCTGGTCTACACTACAGGGTTAGGTCGACCTAATTATGTCAGCGTCTACACTACAGCCGAGCTCCCGCTAATGTTAGGCCTGGTCTACACTACGAGGTTAGGTCAAATTTAGCCATGTTAGGTCGATTTTATAAGGAATGCATCTACACAACCAACCCCGTTCTGTCGATCTAAAGGGCTCTTAAAATTGACTGCTGTACTCCTCCACGATGAGGGCAGTAGCGCTAAAAATCGACCTTCCTGGGTCGAATTTGGGGTACTGTAAACGCAGCACTATGAAATTCGATGGTATTGGCCTCCGGGAGCTATCCCAGAGTGCTCCAATGTGACCGCTCTGGACAGCACTTTCAACTCCGATACACTAGCCAGGTATACAGGAAAAGCACTGGGAACTTTTGAATTTCATTTCCTGTTTGGTCAGCGTGGTGAGCTCAGCAGAAGAGGTGACCATGCAGTCCCAGAATCAGAAACGAGCTCCAGCATGGAGCAAAAGGGAGACACTGGATCTGATTGCTGTATGGGGAGAAGAATCTGTGCAGGCAGAACTCCAATCCAGCAGAAGAAATGCTGATATATATGCCAAAATCGCACAGGGCCTGGTGGACAGAGGCTACACCAGGGACACACAGCAGTGCCGCATGAAAATTAAGGAGCTCAGGCAAGCCTACCAAAAGACAAAAGGAGGCAAACGGCCGCTCCGGGTCAGAGTCCCATACATGCCACTTCTATGATCAGCTGCATGCCATTCTAGGGGGGGACCCTACCACTACCCCACCACTCTCCGTGGACTCCTGCAAGGTGGCAGCCTCACGCAACATAGAGGAGGATTTTGTGGATGAGGAAGAGGAGGAGGAGGAGGAGGAGAACGCACAGCAGGCAAGCGGAGAATCCGTTCTCCCCGGCAGCCAGGATCTTTACCTCACCCTGATGCCAAGACCCTCCCAGGGCAAATTGTTCCCAGACCCCGAAGGCAAAGAAGGCACCTCTGGTGAGTGCATATTTGTAATTACACTACAGGGGTTAAAAGCAATTGTGTTTAATATTTGATTTGCCCTGAACAATTGGAATGCATTCGTGGCCAGTACAGCTACTGGAAAAGTCTGTTAACATGTCTGGGGATGGAGCGGGAATCCTCCAGGGACATCCCCATGAAGCTCTCCTGGAGGTACTCTGAAAGCCTTTGCAGAAGGATTCTGAGGAGGGCTGCCTTATTTCATCCTCCACGGTAGGACGCTTTACCACGCCAAGCCAGTAGCAAGTGGTCTGGAATCATTGCAGCACAAAGCATGGCAGCAAATGGTCCTGGGTTTTGGTCACATTCATGCAACATTCTGTCTTTATCTTTCTGTGTCAGCCTCAGGAGAGCAATATCATTCATGATCACCTGGTTAAAACAGAGGAATTTTTGTAAGGGAACAGTAATCCCCTGTTTGGTGATCCCCGGCACATTAGACCCTGGTCATGCTGGGCTGTTTGCGCTTGACTAAAAGGGATCATCCCGGAGAACAGCCACATGGGGGGGAGGGATGTGCTGCACATCCACCCCAAAAACACAGTCCCTCCTTTCAAACGGCAACAATAGCCCCTCCTTTTAAACAGCTAACCCAACTGGCATTGGTTGCTATGGGAAAGGAGGGTGCTGCAGTTTGAAACCATTCCCACATGTTATGAATGTGGAAGAAGCCAACCTCGCATACCCTTTGGCTTACAATGTCTGCCTGGAAACTGAATTCGGTTGTCCAGCCATGTGTGATGTGTCTCCATACCGCCAGGCGCTCAATATAAAAGGCAAAATGCGACCTTGTACCTAAAACACATGTGCTGTCTTCTGCGAATTGCTTGATTCACTGTGAAAGAGTCACCCTTTCGTTCTCAGAAATGTATCTTCTTAAATTCTACTCTCCCTTTTTCCCCCCCTGCAGCTGCAAATGTTTCTATGCTCCCCGTATCAACTCCGTCCCTGAGGTTATCGCAGATTAGAAGGTGAAAAAAAAACAACACACTCGCGATGACATGTTTTCAGAGCTCACGCAGTCCTCCCGCACTGATAGGGCACAGCTGAATGCATGGAGGCATTCGGTGGCAGAGGCCAGGAAAGCATACAATGAGCGTGATCGGAACATGCAGGAGGAGATAGATGCTGAGGCTAAAGGGGGAGCGAACGGACATGATGAAGCATCTGCTAGAGCTGCAGGAAAGGCAACTAATGTTCAGAACCCCGCTGCATCCATTGTGTAACCGCCTGCCCTCCTCGCCAAGTTCCATATCCTCCTCACTCAGATGCCCAAGAACACGTGGGGTGGGGGGGAAGCTCCGGGCACCCAGCCACTCAATTCCAGGGAAGCAACAGAAGGCTGTCATTCAAACAGCTTTGATTTGTAGTGTGGCTACAATAAGCTATGTGGCCTTGTCCTTCCCTCCTCCCCCAACCCACCTGGGCTACTTTTACTAGTCAGCGTTGTCAGTGATCTCAAGGTTTTTTAATTAATAAAGAATGAATGGATTCAGAACAATAGCAACTTTTTCCTGTGTCAGCTGTGGTCGGAAGGGGGGGGGGGAGGGGTAGTCGGTACTA